GGGTAAATGGATGAGTAGATGTGGATATATAGCATGAATTGGATGGATGGATGGATGGAGATGAATGGGTGGATGGGTAGGTGAGTGCATGGATGGGTGGGCAGATGGATGGACAGGTGGACAGATGGATGGACTGATGAGACAATGGATGGGTAGATGATGTATGAAAAGATGGACAGATGGGAGGATGGATGCATGGCAAGCTAGGTGGACAGATAGATGAATGGACAGTTGGAGGGATATATAGGTGTGTAGAGAATGGATAGATGAATAGAGAGAGAGATGGATGAATGGATGGATGGATGGTTGGGGAGAATATTCTGCCTTCCAGGAACTCACAGCTATAGAGAGGAGCAATTGGCAAACTCCCAACCGTAGGTCTATTTTTTTGTATAAAGTTTTATTAAAATGCACCCATACTCGTTCATTTACGTATTGTCTGTGGGTGCCTTTGCAGTAGAGTTGAGTCCTTGCTACTGAGACTTTGCTTCTTGTGACCTGTATAGTCCTTGACAGAAAATGCTGGCCAGTGTCTGGCCTGGAAAATAGGATAAGCACCTGACTCAGGAACATTCAAAGTTGACAACACCATATGCCATCTGGCAGAGGCAGGCATGGCGTCCCAAGGGCTCAGAGGATGGAGAAGTCCCTCAGAGCTGGGGGGCTCAGGACAAGTCTCAGACATGAGTCCAGGTAGTTCAGGCACCTGGAGACATCCAGGGGCTGGAAGGATGCCTAGACTGTAAAGTCAGCTGAGCTGCCACTGTGCCGCAAGAGAGAGCCAGCTTTCCCTCTGCCCTGATCGAGGCAAAGTATGTCCAAAACCAACATAAATTATTCAGTGCAAAAGAGAAAAGGAACAATTATGCATTGATTTCTGTCCACCTCCTGGAGTTCATTTTGCCTTCGAAGCCACAAGCTGGGTCTGTCTCCACCACAGGAGAGGGGCTGGCTTAAGGTTTCACGTGCTGCTTTTGCTGACAGAGTGGATCAAGGACATTCATCAGAAGGAAAAGTGCTGAGAGGATGCACAGGGAACCCAGACAATCTTCCCAGACCGTTCTCTGAAAGAAGTTCCAGTTGGTGCACTAGAAATTGTTTAGAACAGTAAGCCTTTTGCATCTGACGCAGGGGGATAGAAGTGAAGACAGATGTAGCCCAAGCCAGTAAAACCCCAGCAGCAGGTAGAGCCCAGCCCAGCAGGAGATCTGTCTGCTCAGTAAATATTTGCTAAATTGACAAACATATTGCTCTTGCTACATCCCAGACCAGGGAGGGCAGGACAGGACCTGGTGGTCACACCTTGCTCTCTGCAGCCAGATAGCCTCCTGGTGCTAGGGTCCTTCGGGAACCTGGAAGCTGTTAGACACCAGCAGCCAGGGGTCCAATGGGCTGGAATGCTCCTTGGCCAAGCCCCTCGTCCCTCTCCCTGGGAGGACAGCAGTAAAGGGGAGGCAGATGCCACTTCCAGCCAGCTGCACAGCCACCTGGCCACTGCACAGGAGGAAGGGTCCCTGGTCCTGGGCTGCAAGAGCCTTGTGTCTACCTATGCAGGTGTCTCTCATGTTAGGAGAGCACCCCATGTCTTAAGGAGTCAGAAGAGCCTGGGCGCGTCCTGCCTGCTGTGTCCACACATCTCCAGGTTGAGACATGGTCACAGCTTTTTAGGGGTCACCACTCAGTCCACTGGTAAACAAAGGTCCATGGGAAACTCCTTTTCATGGGGGATGAAGACAGCAAGGCCTGAGGACCCACTGCTGGACACCAGCTCTGACCCTTGCCTCATGTCCCTTTGATGGTTGCCTCTCTCCAGAGGCCGGGACACATGGCAGGTGCGTCCTTACACTTCGTGTCTGAGGCGGGGACAGGGCTCAGCTGGCAGGTGTAAGTTTTACTCCGTGAGCCAAAGGATAACTTGTGGGTCCTACTCTGCCTCCTCATCACTCTTCAGTCTTCTTTAGTGCAGAGGCCCAGCTTTCTGCAGAGTCCAGGGATGGACGGGAGGTGGGTGACTTTCAGATGCCAGCGTGGATGACCCCCTAGGGCAGGATGGGGAAGGACAGATGGGAGAGGCCCTTGGGGAGCACTAAGGTGCCTCCATGAGGATATCTTTGGAAGTAGAGGTTGAGAGCTCTGAAGAAAGGGAAGAATTGGGGCTTGGGGTAGTCGACATGTGTGGGTGGTTGGACCAACCAGGGAGATGTAATCACATCTCCTGGACGTAATCACATCTACCTGGATGAAGGTAATAAAGGGGAGTGAGAGGGCCAAGCTCACCACCTAGGCCACCACATTCAGCAGCAAACAGAAGACAGGAGAGAGAAGAGAAAAGGGAGACCGCTGAGCCAGGCAGGAGTCAAAGGGCAAGAGGCAGTCGCAGAGGGGACCTCGTGGGAAGAGCTTGTTCTCGAAGGTCAAGCAGCAAGGAGGAAACCACCTTCACCACATGTTGGCTGAGGGACCCTGGGAGAAGGGCTGCCTGCCCTTGGCCTTGACCTCCAAAAAGGCCCCTCACAGCCTGGAAAGCACAGTGCTCAATGTGCCACACAAAGCAGCCCCCAAGAAGAGTGGTGAACCCAGTGGCCGCTGAGACTTTCCGGACGGACGCCATGTTCCACGCCAATGCTTTACAATGTGTGCGCTTATTCAATATTTGAGAGCTGGGTTTATGTCATTGATTTTCCGATGGGGCATTGACACAGGTAATATTGAGGCTTGAAATTTACACTCACACCCCCAGTATTTATTCCGGTGAAAGCCGATCTCTCAATCTGCAGCCACTTAGAGGCAGTGGTTAAAATTGCTGTGTTGTGCTGGGCAGAGTGGTGGATGCCTCCCAGCACTTTGAGAGGTTGAGGAAGGAAAAGCACAGCTTCAAGCCCTGTGGGGGCAACTTAGTAACTCAGTGAGACCCTGTCTCAGAACAAAATACTTTTTAAAAGAGCTGGGGATGAAAGGCAGTGTGAGAACCTGGATTCATTCCTCTATACTGCATTTTTAAAAAAAGCCACGTTGTATCCAGATATTGAACTGCAGATAAAGGACCAGACTAATTTAGGAAGAGAAGGTATAAACTCGAGTAACAGCCAGGAGCAGGACAGCAGCAGTAGGAATGTGCCAACGCTCTGCCAGGGCCAGGATTCCTGTCTGTTTCCGTCACTGTTGTACCCCAGAGAATATAAGTCAGACCCTGTGGGCAGGTGGTTCTCCATGAAAATATGTTGAGAATACAGTAACCCTCCTGTTCTTCCTTCTCTATGAGGGGAAGATACTGAAGGAATTTTTTTAAAATCCTGCGGTGTTGTCACTTTAGCAAAAGCAAACACTAAACGAGTGGAACGTGAGACTTAAATTCCCGGATGTTCCACCAATGTTAAATACATAGATCTTGAGTTTTTACTTTTTAAAAAGTTGCCAACACACCATGAGCAATGAACACATCTAGTTGCCTGGATCATGGCTTCTAAATCTCATTCTCCACTCCAGTGCTCCCCACCCCACTCCCTGCCCAGACACGGATGATCACAGGGCTGGAGCAGGAAAAACCCAGATGAGGCTGGAGTGCCCTGTGGAACCAGAAAGGGATGGCTGGCTCTGAGGTGGTGGGAACACAGCAAGAGTCAGAGCCAGCAGGGGCCCATATTCTTTGGGGTGGGGGTAGGGAACTCAGGACCTTGCACTTTCGAGGCAGGTCGCACCACTGAGCTAAATCCCTGGCACCAGGGGGCCCCGATTCTGACCAAGTGGAGCAACAGCAATGGGACTCCCTGCCTGAGACCCCTGGAAAAGACAAGTTTCACGATGCTGTGGTTTCAGTGGTGGACAGGCAGCTCCCAACGGGATTCCAGAGAAAATCTGAGCCAACCAAGCATTGTGCGGTAAGAGTCTCAACTTCGTTGCTTGGGGGCCGGGCATATTTAGCTCAATGGTTCCGTTGCCTGCTTCACAAGCTCAAGAACCCAAATTCGATCCCCGGTACCAAAATAAACAAACAAACAAATAAATAAATAAGAAGGCAGAAGAAAACTCAAAGAGGCCTGCAGAGAAGCGTCTTTGGGTCTCTGGCTGAGTACTGATCTGCACAGGCCTGAAAGCAAACTGCCCAAGAGTGGGGCAAGAACCACCAGGAAGTGATAAATCCAGCACTGCTCAGGGCTCACAGAGGGCTCGGACCAGCTCACGTTCCCCGCAGGGGAGCGAAAAGATTCTGGAACACACGGGGTCAGAGGACGGTGCTCCAAGGGATATCCCTGGGCCCTGGGCATCACGGAGCAGAAGCAGACCTTGAAAGGCTTCAGATGGTTCTGTGCTACTTAACCACATATCAGCACAGAGCCTAACACTGATTAAACAACAAACAGTGAAATCCAGCATTGGGCCACATCACACCACAATGTCCGGCATCCTCTCAAAACTTAGTGGGCAAGCAAAGGGGCCAGAAAGTAAAACTTACAACCAGGCAAAAATCATTAAATAAAGAGACCCAGAGATGAGACAAATGAGAGACGGAAGGTTGAAACAATCACAAGTATGCTCCACATAGTCAAGAAAGTCAGGAACAGATAAGAAAAAAAAAAAAGGAAGGTCTTCAAAGAGATTCCAATGGAACTCCTACAGTTGAAAAAGGCACGGACTGGGATTAACAATAGATAAGATATTGCAGAACTAAAGATCAATGAAACTGAAGACGCACCCTTAGAAACTCTTCAAAATAATGCCCAGAGAGAAAAACAGTAGGGAGAATGCACAGATCAGCAATGATTTATGGATGGACTGATGGACACCTCCAGGATGGCCAAGAAATGGAGGAGGAGCAGGAAAAGTGTTTGAAGAACCAGTGGCCAGGAGTTGTCCATTATTAAGCCAGGTTTGGTATTGCACTCCTGTGATCCCAGCACTCTAGGAGGCTGAGGAGGATCACAAGTTGAAGCCTAGGCAACACAGAGACTTAGAGAGACCCTGTCTCAAAATAAATAAAGACTGGGGAGGTAGCTCTGTGTAAAGGCCAGGATTCAATTCCCAGTGCTTTGAAAAAAATTGTTGTTATGAGAATTATAAGCCCACAGATCTAAAAAGTTTTAACAAATTTCAATCATAAGCAATGTGAAGAAAACATCAATGGACATCATAGTTGAACTGCTACAATCAAGCAATAAAAAAAAAATTTATAAGCAACAAGAGGAAAAGGACATTTGTGTAAGAGGTGTGGAGTTAGCACAGCATACTTCCCATCAGATTATGCAGGTCAGAAGACAATAGGGGAACAGAGGGCCTTTCAGTAAAGTACTTGAGGAAACAAACCACCAGCCAGTGGTGCTACCTTCAGCAAATTGTGTTTCAAATGTTAAGGTGAAAGAAAGACTATTGGAAAACAAAACCTGAAAGAATTTATTGCAATCACATTTTTACTCACAAATGATAAAGGAAGGTCTCAGGACAGAAGACAATGCTAACTGGTGAAATTTACACCTACACCAAAAGATGAAAACCACCACGATTAAATAATGATAAATGTAAGCATTAATATAAAAACATATTTTTCCATTCATACTCTCCTTAAAAGTCAGGGGACTAGGGTCAGGGATTTAGCTCAGTGGTTCCGCCACCTGCCTTGCAAGCGTAAGGTCCTGAGTTTTATCCCTGGTACCAGAAAAAAAAAGACAAGGGACTGTAGTGTAAATAATAGTGTAAGATTTAGAGCACATATTGAAATGAAATGTGTGACAATACAAAGGCTAAGAGGGAGAAATGGAAGTAGATTGCTGAAAGGTTCTTAAACTCTACATGAAATGGTATAATAGTATTTGAAAGTAGGCAGTTATAAGTTAAGCATATGTATTGTAAACTCAAGAGCAACCAGTAAATAAAAGTAAAATAAAAAGATAAAAATACTCCAACAATACAGATAAAAATAAAAAAACCTCATTCAATACAAAGAAAAGGCTCACATGCATTTATATATATATATATGCTTATATAGGGTAGATGTATGTTCAACTTTAGGAACAATTACATTAAATATGAATGGTCTACACACTCCTAAAGACAGAGATTATCTATTTGAATCAAAGATCAAGACCCAGTTGTACACTATCACACTTGATCTTAGCCAAAAGGCCGAGAAGTTGTACGCTATTTACAAAAGAGACAGAAAAGTCACCTTGACCGTTCCATCAGGGGCCAAGTCTAGGATACTTAAGCACAAAAAATAAAGAATAATGATAGTAAGGCCGGGGATTTAGATCAGTGGTTCCAGCACCTGCCTTGCAAGCACAAGGACCCCAGTTTGATCCCTGGTACCCCCCAAAAAAGAACAATGATAGTAAGCGATTGTAACCTATTAGTTAAGATAGCAGCCCATGAATCCAAATGTAAATGAGTAAGAGAATGCCAGACATGGTGGTGCACACCTGTAATCCCAGCACTCAGGAGATTAAGGCAAGAAGATGATGAATTCAAGGCCAGCTTGGACTACATAGTAAGTTCAGAGCTACCATGAGCTATGCAATGAGACTCTGTCTCTGAAACAAAACAAAACAAAATGAACAGAGAAAACAAAGGAAGCTCTTCCTAGAATGCCGACTAAAGGAGGGAATTCTTAATGGTTCTAAAGCTACCCCTGATAGTGTTTAATGAGGAACAGGGTACTTGCATAGTTATAAAGTATCTCCCCATAAATTTCTTTACTTGGTTTTAGCCAAAAGGCCAAGAAGTGATCCCCATAAATTTCTTATGAACTGCAAAGTCCAAAAATAATGAGAGACCTATATCCTGAAAACCATTAACATCACAAAGGACAAAGAAGAGCTGAAGCTTAGAGTATGTGACAGTGTGATGAGATTCTGGATCTTAGTGAGAATTTGGGACCAGAAAAGACAACTCTCTTAAGGACCTTATTGCAACTGGAAGTTAAATCTAAATATGACTATAGACATTTCCTGATTTTGATTATGACTAAGAAAATGTCTTTAAGTGTAAAGAAATACACAATGTAGTACTTAGCCTTCACTTTTTAAATTTTTAATTAATTAATTAATTAATTAATTTATGCTATTGGGGATCGAACTCAAGACCTTGCATTTGCAAGGCAGGCGTGGTGCCACTGAGCTAAATCCCTGGCCCTTCAATTTATGATCATATGGTTCACAGAAAAAATAATGTCTAAGGAATACAAATGTAAAGGCAGAGAGGGAAGCAGGGTTTGTGGGGACAGAAATAAAGATAAGATCGGCAGAAGAGTAAGAACAAACAGGGCAGAGGAAGTAGGCCAAAGCATCACCCTCGCTGAGGCACACAGGCTTTCCTTGTCCGATCCTTGCACACTTTCTATCCACTCGAAATTCTATCTATATGAAAATTACCCCACCAAGACCTGACTTATAATTTTTTAAAAAGTCTAGTCCCAGGAACTAACCCTCTTTTTCACTGGCAGAGGCCAACTCAAATGTGCTCTAGAAGCTCAGTTACAGGAACCCCTGTGTGTTAGGAAGCTCCATGCAGAAAGAAAGCAGATGCAAAGAAAGTGAAAGCTCATGCTCAGTCCCCCACTTGGCCCTAAAACTCCATGACCGGTGCTATTGAAGGACACCAGCAGAGACCCAGAAAGCTGGGGCAGTACCTATCAGACTCAAGCAATGGAGCCTTTAACTCACCTGGATATGAGATCGAGCAAGCTTTGTGCAACCAATTTTGTCTTCGCTATCCGAGGAGGATTTTAGGGGAGGGTCTTTGGGTCCCAAGGCTCTGGTCACCCAATACCTGTGTGTAAAGTCTTCTAGACCGTCTTCTACCACAGTCAGAGTGCCAGCGGCTGCAGGCAGAAAAGAGGAGTCCTGCATGGTGTGATACCCAGTGGACTCAAATTACAGAAATGTGCACAAATAAGAACAAAAGATGGTCAATTTTTGTTCATTTGGGGCTCTGGCCCTTAGAGAAAAAGGAACATACCTCTTCCCTCCACCCAGTCTTTTCTTACTCTGCCTGGAACCTCTAAGTCAGGTAAACTTAGGCTGTCTAGAAACCAGGTGGAATCAGTGGAACCCATCCATGGGTGAGTCTGACTGTGATGCAGGTAACTTGGGCCACACAGGGATGAACAAATGGACCATGGCCACATAAGAAGGGTGTGCAAGTTACCATAGAGAGAATTGAGCTACGTGGATTCAGCAGAAGTGCCCAGTGCTGTCTCTGTTGCCATGCTTTTCAGTGAAAACATGTGTTGCTTCTGCAGAACCCACTGAGTTTTCTTACTATTTGTTCTAGTATCAGCATGCCTGGACAGGGGTGGCACGGATTATAAGTGGTCATCACTGCCATAGCCCAAGCTCCATCTCAGGGAGCCAGAGAGGGTTGTACTGAGAGCAATGAATGCAGCTCTGGGATCCTAGTACTTCCGCTGCAGCAGACTCCAGGGAGAGCTTAACAGAACTTATCTGGGCAAAAGAAGATGTTAATATCACCAAAGCAGGTCGAGTGTTTGGAGAAAATATATACAACAGAGCTTGTTATTCCAAGCATTTCCAGGAACGTGGCAGTTAAAGGTGAATGAGACCATCTGGGACATTGCAAGACAAGGCTGGTTCCAGGTTGCAGAGCAAGAAAAGATCAAAATAAGCCTCAGTGTCTTGCTGCAGGTGACAAAGAAGTACCAGAGTTTAATGAATCAAGTCAGAACACTTAGGGGCTCCCATTGGCCAAGAATGAGGCAATTTGAGCATCAAAAAGAGTAACGACAGAGCCAGGGATTTAGCTCAGTGGTTCTGCTACCTCCCTCACAAGCACAAGGTCCCGAGTTCGATTCCCCATACAAAAACAGAAAGAGTAATGATGTAATTTGGGGATCCTAGAAGACAAGAAGGGCATTAAGTAAAAAAAGTCTGTAACGTTCACACTAATGTATCGATGCTGGTTCATTAATGGTAACTATATCACAGTCATGTAAGATGTTAGGAATGGGGACACCGAGAGCTGCATGCGCAGAAATCCTGTACCATCTGCCTACTTTTCTGTACACTATTCTGAAAACAAAATTTTTAATTTTATGTCAAAACAAGAACCACGGCTCTAATGGATTGAAGCGTGTTGAAGAACAAGAACTGTTGACAGAGGAGGGGAAGGGAGAGAGAGAAGGGGCAGGATTCTCTATGAAGAATAACTTCTGTTTTTATTCTGGCCCTCTGAAACTTTTCTCTGAATTGAAAACAAAGATAAAATTTTCTGTGGTGTCATTTGAGTTACGATGACTTCCTTTTCCCATTCAGCCTTCCGTGACACACTTTGAATTCATTTTGATGATTGTGTAATAAAATCATCATAAAAAAACACCCAGAAAAATCTGAGAAATGAAGGAATCTGCGTAGAGGAGGGCAGTTCCACAGGGATAAGCAAGTAAGATAGAGCTTTTTATTGGAGATTTGGATCAGATGAAAGAAAAGGAGAATATCCTGTCTCCCCAAATCACTGGATTTTATAAGCACTGCTTTTACAAGCGGTTCTGGTTGGCCTGACACTTTTTGAAACAAATTGTATCTTTGCAGAATGAATGTTTTAAATAATAACCAAAGCCACTTTCCAAATGTCTCCGATTTGCAGGATTCTGCTGAAGCCTCTCTTGCTAAAGTTACACAGAATCTAGGTATCCAAATGAAAAAGAAAATAACTTTCCAAATATTTTAGTGAAAATAGAAACTTTCCGTTTTATGAGATATTATTTTTGTCCTCCATCTGTATGCAAAATAAAACAAAATATTAAGGCTTAATTCCATTTTATTTCAACAGTTTAACTTTACCCCTGAACTTTTAGATAAACATTTACTCAATGGATGAAATGGTGGATTTGAATTTTTGAAACATAGTAAACATTTGCCTATTTAATAATCTGTCTTGTTTCTATAAACTGTATCGATTTATTAGATGTTTTAGCTTCCTTGAAGGTTGAATAAAGGTTAAGTTTCATGTAAGGTTTTTTGTTTTTGTTTTTGTTTTAGATCAGTTTATACTCCACAATTTTGCTTCAAAAATTGTATGGAAGTCATTTCTGCTTAATTTATTCAAGGTTTTGGAGTTGGGCAGTGGGAGATGTGTGGCTTATTGAATAGATGTAAAATTGAAACTCGGGAAATCCAAGCCTTGCAATAAACTTTGTCATTTTGTCCCCGGTTCCTCTCCATCCCACACCCCACCCTCACCCCAGGGTTCTGATGTGCAGTTCCCCCTCTGGCCACTAGGCGCTGTTCCGTGCACGCTGAGACCTCACCAATTCTTGGTTGGTTTCTGCTCACCAGTCAGGAAATTATATACCCGGGGACCTGAGGGCCACACCAGAAAGTGGACAGACAGGATCCTGGCCACTGTGTTTGCTAGCAAAACAGGTTCTTCTTGAATGTCGAGGTGACTTGGGATTTGCGCATGTGTCTCGTGGACAAATGGGCACACACTGCCCTGACAGGTAAGCCTCGTATGTTTTCTTCCTAAACCACAACTATTTTTCACGGCTGATGCCACCAGTGACAGCCTGTGATTGATTTCTGGTGGTGTCTGTGGGGAATTGGCTACGATGCCTGAGGGTGGAAATCTAAGGTTCATAAAAGGTCCCAGTCTTTTGGCTCAGCTGGAAAGCTACCACCCGACACAAAATGGGATCAGGATCTCAGCTCTTGCTGCCAATACCTTGACACCACTTCCTGTCACCCAGCAGAAGAGCAGGAGTCCTGGTCACAGACCCAGGGTTCTTTGGCATTGCAGTCAACATACGTGACTTTGTGCAGAGTGACCTCCCCTTTCTGTGCCTCAGTTTCTTCCTCTGTCAAATGGAGATGATAGTTTCGGCTTCAAAGGCTGTCCTGAAAACAACCAAGGGACCAGTGTAAAGGGCGATGCTGTCATAAAGTTGGCAAGGAATAAATGATAGTTGGTGCATTGATTCAGCAAGTCGTGATCTGAGCTGTTCCAGGAAAAGTTATAGGCACTCTGGATGGATTTTAAAAATATTAGCCTCGGATTTATCTCCCTAGATAAATCCTAAAAGATAATAATAGGGATAACTGTTTCAAGGAATGAAGGAAGGAATAAGCCAGTGATGAGGTCCTCCTGGTCTCCCATAAACCCCCAGGTCTTCTGTGTTGAAAGCGGGTAGAAACAATTCCTCCATCCCTGGAGAGGACAAGCTGCATTCTGGGAAACTCACTTGAATGCTGCTTGATGGAAAGGTTCCTCATGCATAGGCTCTTTCGCCAGCAAACTCCACCTGCTTAGGGTACAGGAGACATAATGACAAGACTCAACTTCTCGGTGACAGCGCATTCCTGGTCCTGGGTCTGATGAGGCTGGAATTATGATGCCTTCCCCAGGACCCTCCCCCCCACAAGGGGGCAGCTGCAAGTGCAGCTGCAGGCCACACCCCACCCTTGCAGCATCACATCTCTGACCTCCATTTCCTCCTTTGTCAAACGGGAATTTTGGCAGGGCTGTGGGGAAAACTAAGAGAGAGGACATGTTTGGGTGTTCTTAAGAGAAGTCACATAGCACATTGATAACCAAAGCCAGCATTTTACCTGCACTTGTAGAATAACCTAACATCATTTTAGACACTTTTTTTTAACTTGGGGAGAAACATTTTTATGGAAGGTAGAAATGAACAAAAGTGCACAGATTGTAATTTCATAACTTGATGCAGCTGATGATCATCACCAAAATCACACTGGGCAACATTTTAGCTCCCCAAAGCCCCCCAGGAGGACCCCAGTCACCACCTGCCCACCCATGACCATGCAGCCAGGGACTTGGGCTCAGTGGCATCAGGCCCTTACTCAGCATGGTGACTGAGGTTTGTCCACATGGCTGCATACAAGAGTTGCTCATCCAGGTTGCTGTGACGGCTTCCACTGTGGGACAGTTTGCGATTCTCCCGTGGGTAGGTATGGGGATATGATCAGTGGAACCACAGAGCCCACCTGAACTGGTCTGCTAGTGAGCACCCACATGCCCTCCAGTAGGTGCATCCCCAGGAGCAGGACTGAGGGGTCGCCATACTCACTTCTGGCTTTGGTGGGTATCACCTGACAGTTTTTCCCAGAGGCTGTACCAGCAGGAACCTGGTACACTTCAGTAGGTGTCCAGTAACCTCCGACCTCCAGTGCCTTTACTATCTGTTCAGTTTGGGGTTTGTTTTGGTTTACTTTGAGCCCCTGGTGGAGTGGGTAGTGGTTTCTCCTCCTGGTTTTAAATTGGCATTTCTCTGACATCTATGATGACCTCTGCAGAAGACATACTTGTCCAATCATTTTAACTTGACTGTTTGCCTTTTTCTGTTCCTCTGTAAGAGTGACATATTGTGGATCAAGTCCTTTGAGGCTTCTATGTATTTTAAATATCTTCCCCCACTCTGTGACTCACCTCTTCCTGTACTTAGTGATGTCCTTAACCAGCAGAAGTTCCTGATTTTAACAGAGGATGGTTTATCAGTCTTCCCTTTGTGGTTTCTGTTTTTATTGCCTGTTTAAGAAATGTTTGTCCATCCAAAGGTCATGAAGATAGTGTCTTATCACCTCTTAGGAGCCTTGTTGGATTTCATGCATCTGGAATCGACTATGGTATGAAGTAGGGGTCTTGGTTCAGCTTTCTGCTTACCGATGCCACACCACTTATTAAAGGTACTCCTTTCCCCTCTTGCATGGTACCAGTACCTTGATAGTAAGTTGAATAACAGAATACATGTAGGTTTGTCTCTGAACCCTCTTCTTTATTCCATTTGTCTGTGTATCTATCTTGCACTAATACCACACTGCCTTTATTATTATAGCTTTGTAACTCTTCACATCCGATAATACAAGTCCTATCGTCTTTGCGTTGAGATTGTCTTTACTATTGCTGGTCTTTTTCATGTCCATATAAATTTTAGGATCAGGTTTCCTGTCTTATCTCTGTTACACACACATCTGCATATGCACACTCACACCCCTTCTGGAGTTACACTGAATCTGTAGATGGAGGTCACCCTAGGGAGAATTGACAGGTGTCCTATACTGAGTCTTCCAACCTGGAAACCTAGAATGTCCCCCTTATCTGTTTAGAATTTCTTGGTAATGTTTGGTAGCTTTCTTTGTTGAAGTCATGCATATCTTTTGTTTGTTCTTAGGTATTTAATCTTCTGAGGCTTTTTTTAAAAGCATATTTTTTAGTATTTTGTTTCTAGTGTGTGGAAGAGCTGACTTTTGAACATAAATCATGTAGTTGGTGATCTTGCCTCATTTATTAATTCTGATAGTTTATCTGAATTTTCTCCACTAGAATTATGTTATGAGATAAGGTCGGGGTTTTTTTTTCTTTGCAATCCATGGCACTTTATTTATTTTTTTGCTTTCTGTGTCCCTAAAGCCTCCCGTACAGTGTGGGATAAGAGCAGAGATGACGGCCATTGGTGTCCCAATCCCAGCATCAGGGGACAGCTGTCATCAGCTCACTACTTATCATGCTATTGTTGTAGGTTTCATTTCTTGTAAATTTGCTAAAGCTTTATCATAAATAGGTGTGAAGTTTTGCCAAAATTTTTTTGCAAGGAATGCAACCCAGGGATCCATGTGGGCTGGAAAGTGCTCTATCGCTGAGCTGTACCCTTGCAACCTCTATTGAAATGATCATTTGCTATTTCCATTGTCTTGTTATTTTTTAAATAACAAACCAACTTTATATTCCAGAAATAAATTCAAGGTGGTCATAATACTATATTATATTCCTTTAGTAATGGAATTTGCTTGCTGATACTTTCTCTTTTTTGGTACCAGGGGTGGATCTCGGGACCTTGTGCTTTTGAGGCAGGTGGAGGCACCACTGAGCTAAATCCCTGGTCCTTGCTGACACTGTCTTATGGGGTTTTTATATGTGGTTTACAATTGATGTTGTTCCTTGCTGAAGTATTCTTTTCAGGTTAAAATTGATTAGGAAATGGTCCTGCTCTATTCCTGAAAGAGTTTGTAAAAGATTATTGTTGTCTCTTCCTGAAATGGTTAGAAAATTTCACCCATGGAGCCAGATGTACCTAGAGTTCTCTTTGGGAAAGGATTATAATTAGGAATCAGATTTACCTTCTAGACATAGGATAGACTAACTGGTTCATTATCTCCTCTTATGAAAACCTGGGGCAGTTGTGGCTTCCTAGAACGTGGTCCATTCACCAGAAATTTCCACTATATCTGCCTGTGGTTGACCTAATGTCCTCTGTTGTCTTGTTTGTGTCTTTGGGGTCTGTAGTAATTTCTGCCACCTCATTCTTGCTGTTGATTATTTTCCACTGTGCTTGTCAGTGCTGCCCATGGGTCAGACAAGAGTGGTCTCAACCCTGCTCTGGTCCTTCTCCTCTTCCTCATAGGTATAAAGTCTGTGGTCTGAGGACACAGCCCACCAGAGCCTACATCTTGAGACTGTGCCTAAAACTCTGGACAGTAGCTCCCCTGCCCACATGGCCCCCACGTGCTCATCTTTGTCTCTGAAGAAAAAAGGTGTGCTCATCTGGGTCTGTCCTCCGAAGCGGGCATGGACACACAATGCAGGCCCAGCAGGGAGCAAAGCAGCCACGGGGGTGAGGGGCTATAATCAAACTATGTTTCTCGTGACCCTGCTGGTGCAGAATGGACGGATTGGGGGGCAGACGCCATCGCCCAATCTTCAGGTACAGATTTTCTGAGAGCTATAAACTTGAACCTCTTTCATACAAAGGCATACTCATCAAATGGAAGGATAGAAAATGTCTTATTTGATATCTTGCTTCCTTGATTTATAACTTAAATATTTAGACATATGGATTCAGCCTCAAGTCATATTAGGGGTAGGACTGAATCTTTGTTGCGTATCATTGATTTTATTAAACTTTTCAAAAACCCGACCCTTAGTTTTGTCAATTGTGCCGTTATATATTTGTTTTCTAAATCATTTGCATCCATTCTTGTCTTTAATATTTACTTCCTTCTACTCTGGGTGTGCCTTGCTGTCCTTTTGCAATTTGAATGGATGTAAACTTAGCTGGTAGATTTTCAGCCTCCTTACTTTGGAGCTGGAATGCACTTAGGACCACACTCTTATCTTCAAGTATAGATTTAGCTGCATGTGATGATCTGATAAAGTGATGGAGGACCCTATATTTTCATTATATCCAGTTCAAAATACTAATCTAGGCATGGCAGTGCACACCTGTAATCCAGCACTCTTGGAGGCAGAAGCAAGAGGATTGCAAGTAAAAGCCTAGCCTGGGCAATTTAGTATAAAAAAAAAAAAAAAAAAAAAAAAAATTGAAGGGGGCAGGGCTGGGGTGAAAGCCCTGAATTGAATTGAATCCTCAGTGACGAACACACACACATTCACACAATCAAAATTTACTTACACTTACCTGTACCTTTTCTCTTCCTAGAGTTCTTTTTTGCTTTTTACCTTATTAAACTTCCATTTGAGATTATTTTTCTTTGTTTTAAAAATGAGAGAGAACTTTATATTTTTTAATCAAATTGATGTACTATTTTTAAAAAGTCCCTCTTCAGCTCTAGTAATGCTTTTTATTTTGAAATCGAATTTATTTGATATTAGTAAACTACCTAGTAGAGCTTCCCTTTGATTATATTTGTGTGGTATGTATCTTTTTCATCCTTTGAGTTTTAACAATTTTGCGTCTTTAAAGTGTGGCTTCTATAAATGGTTCAGGTTAAAAAAAACTCTTGTGATAGTTTTGTCATTTAACTGGAATATTTAGTCCATTTATTATTATAATTATTGATATAGTTAGATTTCTATCCACTGTGTATTTGTTTTACATTTGACCCTGGTTTTTTAATCTCCCTCCCTCCCTCCCTTTCTCTTTTTGTTGTAACTAGGTACTGAATCTAGAGCCTCATGTATATTAGGAAAGTGTTCTACCACCAAGCTACACTCTTGGCCTTTAAAACAATTTTTTAAATTTATTTTCAATCCTTCTGAGTAGCTGGGATTACAGGTATGACCACCACACCCCACCAGTCAGTTATTTCTTAAGATATAGTTTCTCTCTTAGCTTAGTTTTACATTCTTTTATTCTTCTGGTGGTTACCCTAAAAATTCTGATATGTATCCCTGGATCTTGAAAGCCCATGTTAAAATAGTGCTTCAACAACTTTTAGACAATGCACAAACCATAAATTCACCTAACTTCATTTGTCCATGATTTTTTTTTTTTTTTTTTTTTTTTTTGGTACCGGGGATTGAACTCAGGTCCTTGCACTTGCAATGCAGGCAACGGAACCACTGAGCTAAATGCCTCACCCTGTCCATCTTTACTTTTTGTGATATTTTATTCTTGTATTAATTCCATTCCTATTTTAACCCCCACTCGTATTATTACTAACTTAATCAAAACGTATTGAGACTTGACTGCACCTTTTCTCTTCCTAGAGTTCTTTTTTTTTTCTTCCTAAAGTTCTTGACTCCTTTTTACCTTATTAAACTTCCAGTTGAGATTATTTCCCTTCATTCTGAAACTCACTTTGGTATTTCAGTGCAGATTTGCTGGCAGTGAATCCTATTAGTTTTTGTTCATCTGAAAACATCGTTATTTCACTTTCATGTTTGGAAGATAATCTCTCTAGATACAGAACCCTATGTTCAAAGTTATTTTGTTTCAGCAGTTTTAGTAGTTATGTGTTAAATAGCGGTTCAGTTCATGAAAAACCACAGTTAGGACAGGGATCCCTTGGTGCAGCCATCCTAGTCTAGGTAAAGTGTACTCTGTCAGAGTCATACCACTCATTTCTCCAGACAAGTCCCCTCTGTGTCAAAAAGTCAGCCAATCACCTTATTGCTGATCTGTTCAAAGTAAATGTCTTTTTCCTCTGGCTGTGTTGAAGATTCTTCTCCTGCCTTTCTTTTTCACCCTTGTGGCTCTGACGAGCTTCCCTGTGTTTTCCTGTATGCACTTGCCTGGTTTTCATGGAGTTACTCATGTCCATAACTCAACATGGCCTGATGTCTTTAATCAGCTCTGGGAAATTCTGGGTCAAACTCTTTCAGATGCTGCTCCTGCCCTGTTCTCGCTCTTCTCTTTCTCCAGAGTTCCAGCTGCAGAGGTAAATGTTCACAGGTCAATGACTGGATTGTATTTCTGCAGAAGTAAATGAATCATCTGCCCTTATGAACTTTTCTGTATGTTACATCTTTTTTTCTCTCTGCGCTGCAATTTTAATATTTTCTACTGACTTATCTTTCCATTTACTGATATCTTCCACTCTGTCTTTATCTGCTGTTGTATTTATCTTTTGCATACTATTTTCAGCATTAGAATTCTGGTCTGAATTTATCTGTAGATTCCAGTTCTCTGGTGGAATTCCCCATCTTCTCATTTATTTTCTCCAGCGCTTAACTGAATGTGCCCACAACCCCAACATCTGAGTCTGACGTCAGTGTGTCCCTGTTGCCATTCTGTTTGGTTATTTTTCTTGATTCTTACTTATCTGGCTCTGTATTCTGACACGAGAAGTAATTTTAGTTGGAGCTCAGCTGTGTGGTTCCCAGTGAGGCTTGCTTTTTCTTAAGGAGGACTTGCATCTCTTTGAAAACAGAATAAAAGCTGAGCAGCCTATCCCTGGCCAGAGTGCACCTGACATTTGTGTTTGTTGAGTGAAATGGGGGGACAGAGAATGTTCCCTAGGACAGCCAGGATTCGGGCTCCTTGGACCTGGACCCATGATTCTATTAGAACCGTCGAAGCCCCACTGTGGCGAGTGACCAGGGAATGCATCTTAAATGAGCAATATTTGCATATCTTAAAGATAAATTTATGTTAAAGGAAGTCTTGCCACATGGTCTTTCCCCTTTGTCGGGAAGTGGAGCTGTCTCCAAGTGTCTTACCTGCTGTTTTCTTGGTATCTCAGGACAGGGAAAGGCTCCTGTCCTAAGAGCACCATTGCGCTCCTCCACAGAATGGGGATTCCGAATCCCACCCACCCACTTCTTCAGACCCTCCCTCGTTTGTCCTGGAGAAATACAATCCAGTCATGCACGCCAAGACTCTGTCTCCCTTGGATCGTTTTTGGATGAGTCAGTGTCAGGTCCCTGGCAGCACCTAGAAGTGACCTCAACACTCAGGTATATTCTTGCTCTTTTCTCAGAGGTTTGGTCTTTTCTCCCTCTGAATCTTACTCTATTTCCTTTCTCCTAATTTTCTTTTTCTTTCTTCCTTCCCCTTCTTTTCTTTGATTCTTTCTTCTTTATTTGGGAAAAAGATCTTCATACTTTGGGAGTGGATCGGGGAGTGTGGGGGATATGTGCACCATTTCTTTCCCAGCACACAGAGGTTGTTTTCACAACTGGGCTCAACCAGGAGGATTTTCTGGCCCTGCGGTAGATTTATGGTTTGGCAAGGGAAGGAAGTGGGCGAAACATCAAGGATTCTTTCTCCCCCTCCAGGCTCTGTGCATCTGCCCAGTGGGTGAGGGTCCCGGAGCTTCTGCTCCAGAGCTGGATGTGGCGACCCTTCAGCCACATGAGCTGCGCCCAGCACATTTCAGGAAGAGCCCAGGTCTGGCCTCCACCTCCCGACCCCCACTCTGGGGCCCCAGCAGCACAGATGAGAAAGAAAACTTCTAAGACCAGATGCTTATCTGAAAAAGAGGTTGCTCAGTCCCTGTGTGGCCCCTTGTGGGTCTTAAACTTTTTCTCCTTTGTTTTTGGCCCTGGTTTTGCTCTGGAGAGATTGTTCAGATGAACATCCTGGACCTGGGTGAACTCTAAAATTGCTTCCCAGATCAGACAGATCTGGTTGTGCCGGCCTCCAAGGAGGTCAGGGCAGTGGGCAAGGCACGTGTGGGTCACGCTAGGACAGATCAGAAGCAAATAAAGGTTTTCTTTGTTCCTCTTCCTCCAGACCTCTTCCTCCTTTCCTTTCCCTTTGCCGTGGGAAGTTCTTCCCTTTCTCCCCTTTCCCCATTCCCAGATGCTCCTGGGCCTGATGCTGGTTGCCTTGCTAGAAGAAGAAAGTAGTTTATACCTTAGTATGAAACAGACCAATTGTTGGCTTTTCTCTGGATATTTGCTAAGTCTCACTGGGGAAAGGGAGTGAAAAGCTTAGAGCTACATTATAGACATCTGAGGAAATTACAGGAGAATTGGGAGGGCTGGAGGAGGTTGATCTTAGAAGGAACTCACCAGAGCCCTGGTAATCACACGTGTAAGCTGCAAACTCCAAGTCCTCGCTTAATTTGCATACTGGCCATGTTCCGGCACAAAGGATTTTGAAAATACGTGGTTGAGAGTGATCTGGAACTCGGCCAAGGCCAGGGAGTAGAGGGAGCTGGGCCTGCTGGGCTGGAGAGGAAGGAGCTTTATGACAGCTGACTAACTCTGTGTTATCTCTCTGGCGAAGGAGTCTGCATGTCTCCAGCCTAGAAGTGGGAAGGGTTCCCGAGAGCAGGCTTCCTTTGACTTCCTGTGAAAGAGCCGGAGCTACCCCAGGACTGAGCAGCTGCTTCCAGAGGTGGGGAGGTCTCGGGCAGACCCAGGCTCCTCTGGGTCAGGCCATTGTTGGAAAAGCCTAGCTCTTTGCCACGTTGTGCCTGAGCTGACACTTACTTGAGGGCCTTTGCTAATATGTGGATCCTGGGCCCCGCCCAGCCCATGAAACCAGACACTGCCCTGCAATCTGTCAGCCATAAAGCTCCCTGGGGAGCCACCTCCAGAGACCTCTCCTGGCCCAGGGGCACCAGCAGGCCTGCGGCCTTCCTCTGACCACACCAGCCTAGTGTTCCTGCCAAGCTGTGGTGCACTTGTGCTTTGTGATCTCCACGTCTCAGTCCGCCACTGGGACTGAGTCAGAAGTGGGGATCCCAACACCTACCTGCCTCATCCAGAGTCTCCCAGTGGGGATCAGGAGTCAGAGGGAGGAGGTCTGTGCCTGGCCCTGATCATTGGAGCCTCTGGAAAATTCCATGCTCGAAGTGAGTGGAAAGTGTTTAACTGTCCTCTGGACCAGTCTCTCCCACCAACCTTTGCTGAACACCTACTATGCGCAGGGGCAAGCACAGTAGTGTCCTCCTCCCCTTGGTGGCTCATAGGTGGTGGGGGGTGACAGATGCAGCTCTGACTGTCTTCTCCCAGGAACAGCATGGCGAAGCCTGCCCTGCAGCGGGGTTCGGACAGGTCCAGGTCCATTGTGACATGCCACTCCACCGATGACAAAAGACCCTGGGGCCACCTGGGCACAGCCTGGCCAGGCAAGGAGAAGTACCACTGTGCTAGCGGCCAGGCCCATGGGTGCTATTGGCGCAGCCAAAGAGATCCCTGCCAGCCTTACAGGCCCAAGCAAGGAAGTGCAGAGGCCAAGTGCCCACTAGAACCCAGAGGGTTCCATGTCTGTGTTGAGCCTAACCTGCCACCATCTAGGGTACCCTTTGTCATTACAAAGAAGGCACCACCTTGCTTTTGCATAAAAAATGAATCCCAGGACTAGGGATGTAGCTCAGTGGCACCACGCCTGCCTGGCAAGCGCAAGGTCTTGAGTTCAATCCCTAGTACTGGGGGGGGGGAAGAGTCCCAGCTGCCCCACCCACCCTCCATCCTGAGAGGCTGTGAATATCCCCTTGGCAGCAAGCCTCACCCTGGCCACTGTGGGAAATTGCCATCCCCACCTTCTGGGCACTTCTGCCTCCCCTACCGTGCTGGGCTTGACCTGACCCAATGTGTGGCACTGTGTGGCTTGCTTAGGTTTTCGCGGCTGGTCTGTGTGTTCCGTGCAGACACCAGCTCTGCAGGGCCGGTATCAGGAGTGATGTGCTCACTGCTCTTCTCAGCACCAGGAGTCGCGTAGAAGATGCTAAGGCACATCCCACAGGTGCAGGGGTGGATGCAGGAGCAGCCTGCCTTGTCCCCACTGCCCATCCCCCTGCCCTGCGCCTGCTTCTTCCAGACCTGCCCACCTGAGGAAAGTGTCCCCAGCCCCGTTCCCATCTTCATCTTCCTGGTTCCCAGCAACCCTTCAGGCTCAGCTGAGAAGCCAGCCACTATCTTTTACTGTGACCTTTCCTTCTTTTCTCTGCACTTTTCTCTTTCTTTTTTTTTTT